CCTTATTGTACTTTCACCTTTTCACTTAAAGGAAGCACTTTTTGGCTTCTCTTTTGACATATGTGAATTGCCAACATCACTATTCTAATGCCCTAGGTCCATTACTAAGTAAAATGTGTCACCTGACCATAAGCATTGACACACCATGATGGTCCCTCAATAGAGATGGCTACTAAGCAACTAATAGGCAGGTAGCATACACAGTGTGGAAACGAAAAGAATAGAGGCATGATTCACATCCTGGACAAGGATTAGACAGTTCAAGATTTCATCATACTACTCAGAACAGCAGGAAACTTAAAACATATAAATTATATCTGAAATTTTCCATTTAATATTTTCAAACCATTACTCTTTTTAAAATATTTTTTAGTTATGGATGGATGCAATATCTTTATTGTTTATTCATTTTTTTATGTGGTGCTGAGGATCGAACCCAGAGCCTCACATGTGTGAGGCAAGTGCTCTGCCACTGAGCCACAACTCCAGCTCCAAACCCATTACTCTTCATAAACCATAGTTGACTGAAGAATAATTCAAACTGCAAAAAGTGAAATCACGAACAAGTAAGCAGAGACTACTGTCAGGTTTGTAACCTTCAGATTAACTACCCCACTCCACCCCAGTACTTGGGATTGAACTCAGGGGTGCCTTCTACTAAGCTACATTCCCAGCCTCCCCACCCTTTTAAATTTTGAGATAGGGTCCCTCTCAGTTGCTTAAGTTTTGTTAAATTGCTATTGCTGGCCTCAAACTTGCAATTCTCCTGCCTCAGCCTTCCAGAGTTGCTGGGATTACAGGCATGTAACACTAGGCTAGGCTTAGATTATCATCTTTCAGCATACCTCTATAATTAGAGTTTTAAGAGTGATCTCTTTAAGATGTCATGGTGGCCCATACCTGTAATCCCAGCAGCTTGGAAGGCTGAGGCAGGAGGATGGAGAGTTTGGAGCCAGCCTCAGCAAACTTAGTGAGGCCCTAAGCAACTCAGTGAGACTCTGTGTCAAAAAAATATATAAAAAAGGGCTGGGGATATGGCTCAGTGGTTGAGCGCCCCTAGGTTCAATCCCTAGTACCAAAAAAAAAAAAAAAAAAAAAAAGTGTTCTCTTTAATAATGTTCTCCTTAATAAGTGATAAGCTGCTGCTAACTCCTGTTCCATTTATGGTCCATTTATTTATATAGTTATTTTAGGTCACCACATATACCAGCAGACAGAACCCATTTTAGATAAATCAAGTTTATCAAGATCATTTTGAAATTCTGTTTTTGTCTTCCATGTTTTCAGAAATTACAGTCATTTTGTTATCATTCACAAGCAAAAAGTTCTTATTTCACCAACACCCAGAGTACTGAGAAAAAATAAATTAAAACAAAGTTCTACAGGGTACTTTCATATCACTGTTCATTTTCACTGTTTGACTGCTGAGTAGGTTATAAGTCTATAGTAATATCATCTAGGACATATCTCCTAGGATTACTATTCATTTTAGGAATAAAGCATGTTCACATTTTAAAGTCTCATATTAACAGTGATCACAAAACCACCATGCCACAGAAGCATATGCTGATTCAATATATGGAATGGAAAGGAGAAAGGAACTACTTACTAAGTGCCAATACTAAATAGTACTCAGACCTATATTATGAGCCAATTCTAAAACCTCTCTGAAGTATATTAATATTCTTTGTTAATTAAAAAAAGAAAAAAATCTGAGACATTAAGCAACTAATACACATCTGATGTTTCTTAAGAAATGAAATCTGTGTTAAAAGGTATGAGTATCTGAATTAATATTTTGTTACATTTCTTTCTGTAACATATACAACTGATAACCACTTTAGTTCCATGTACTTACCATAATCTCACTAGCATTGAATCATTATTTTTGCCTTCATTTTCAGCCATATAAATTTTTCTCAATTGCATTTCTTGATTACATGTATGGCTATATTGAACTTGTTATTCATGGGTACTGACTTCTTATAACAATACTATTTTATTTTTAACTAGTTCTTGATAAGTCATTTTATTTCCTGGCTATTACCCAGGATGTCATTTATTTTCAAATACTTATTGAATGTCTATCCTATTTCAGGCATTTTGTCAGATGCTAAAGACCATACTGTTGAACAAGAGTTTCAATTCATGCTTTATCAAATTTACAAGCCAGTGGAGATAACAGACACTGAACAGATGAGTGGAATGAGAAGAGCAGTTAGCCTTAGTGGTGTATAAAAAGACCCATTAAAATCTAGAAGTTTGGCTAGATTTAATCCCAGCCACTTGGGAGGATGAGGCAGGAGGGTCACAAATTCAGAGGCCAGCCTCAGCAACTTCGGAAGACTCTGTCTCAAAAAAACATAAACACACAGGGACTAAGGGTACAGGATTGATCAGTGGTACAGCACCTAGGATCAATCCCAAGTACTGCATCAAAAAAAGAAAAGAAAAAAGAAAAATCCAGGTGCCATGATGCACAACTGTAATCCTAATAGCTCAAGAGACTAAGGCAGGAGGATTGAAAGTTCAAAGTCAGCTTCAGTAATTTAGCAAGGCCCTAAGCAACTCAGTTAGACCCTCTCTTTAAAAAAAAAAAAAGGGGGGGGCGCTGAGAATGTGACTCAATTGTTAAGTGCCTATGGGTTCAATCCCTGGTACATAAAAGTAAAATTAAAAAAAAAAAAAAAAAAGAAAAGAAAGAAAAAGGAAAAAAAATCTGCAAGTTCAAGAAGGATTTCCCTGAGGAAAAGACTATCATCAAAAAAGATGAATAAAAATCAGTTAGATAGGAAGAAGGCTGGTAACAACACAAGAAAGAGCATTAAAGAGAAAATGCCATCTACTGGTTTTAAAAGCTTTTTAGGGTTGTTGTTTTTGTTTTGCTGCAGTGTTGGGGATTGAATCCAGGGCCTTACACATGCTATGTAAATGCTCTACCACTGAGCCACATTCCCAGCCCTATGGTTCATTTTCCTTAATAGATATATTAGAATTCATCTTTAATGTCACTTATTATAAACATCATTTCTCTTTTACATGGTATCTTTGCTTGGACAGTCTTCTGCTTTGCAAATTATAATAACTGCCTCTTTTTACATGAACTTAAAAAAAAGAAATAAGCAACTTATGGTCTAAGGGATTCAAAGACAGCCAGAATCTAAGTTCTATATTACTGTCTATGTCCTAGAAATTTTTATTTCTAGGTTTAATCAAGTTAGCTGTACATAATTGGGTAACAACATTGCTGAGCCTCCGTTTCCTCATCTGGATAATAGGATTTATTAAGTGAGAAAATTCATGTTAAGTGTTTTTTTTTTTTTTTCCCAGAACCTATGCACAATAACCTCACTCAATAACTATTAGCACTAGTCAAAGTTAGACTTAAAAAAAATAAGAAATCAAAGTCAGGTCTGATTCACAAGTCCATGCTCTTTCTACTAAAATCTGCTACAGATTATGGGGATAGTTCTTAGCTACATAAGAATCAATACATTAAAAAAAATGATAGGAAAGGGACAATATCTAAATCTATTAAGAGCTAACTAAACCAACTTAAGTATTTTAGCTCTAATATCTGAAAAGCAAGATCATATAGTTCATTAGAAAATACTGTTTAGACATTCAGGAATGCATAATTTGTTCTAATCACTATTACTATTTTCCTACCCATACAGGAATTTACTCTATTTAAAACCACTTGTAGGGGCTGGGGTTGTGGCTCAGTGGGTAGAGCGCTTGTCTAGCATGGTGAGGCATTGGATTCGATCCTTAGCACCACATATAAATAAATAAAAATAAAAAGCCATCAACTAAAAAAAAAAAAAAAAACTTGTAAATTAAAATTTTAATTACCATAAGTTATCTAAATAAAGCTTACTGGCTGGTCTGGACGAAGAAATCAGTCCTCCTACAACAAAGCACTGCATCAACTTGAAGCCTGACGTTATTTTCAAAATAAACTAATTTTTTATTATACTACTTAATTGAAGCAATCAAATAGTATCACTTCCTGCCCATTCCTGCAGTACTGTTCTAAGAATGTTTAAAAAAACCTCACTTAACTATTTAATCCTCTCTCTGCCTGACCTAATGGTATATAATGCCAAAAAAAATTAAAAAGTTACATTCTGACACCTTATCTTTCAACATATTACATGACACATGTGCCACCTCAGGACTCCCCCAACAAAACTAGATACAGCCCCTTAACCTTAGAACAGAACCATGAGCCAAAATAAACCTCTTTTCTTTATAACTCAAAAAGGAGAAAAAAAATTATCTTCTACAACAATCATTAATAATAGGTTTACTGTTTCAAAGAACTTCCAGGAACTATGTGCCTTTAAAAAGAGGTTGTTGAAGCTAGGTTTGGTGTCACATGCCTGTAATCCCAGGGACTCTGGAGGCTGAGGTGAAAGAATCACAAGTTCAAGACATACAGAGTGAGACCCTGCCTCAAAACAAGATTTTTTAAAGGGCTAAGGCTGTAGCTTAGTAACAAAGCATTTGAAACATTTGCTTAGAGTACATGATGCCCTGGGTTCAGGTGTGGGATTAAACCAATATGGTATACCCACACACATGTATTCTAGCAACTTTAGCCTATTCAGAAAAGCAACATACAAGCCACCAGAACAAAATTAATGCATGTGCCTTAACAAAGAAGCTGAGTTTTAACCAAGGGAGAAAGCACAGCACTTTTAATTATGTACTCGCCCTTCAAAAGAATCACAGAACACCTTAATTTTAGCAAAAAAACCTTTTGAAGACAGTGCATTTCTTAAATTTCTTAAATTCTAACTTCCTGCCTCATAGATCTAAAATAGCCATTACATACTCAAGTATGCTCTACTCATTTAGTTCAGAATCATGTGTAGAGGAACACAGGTTTCTAGGTTTACAACTCCATACCCATTCATTTTGCACTAATATAACCACTAAATATAGCTCTAAGACACTGATGATTAGAAGTGGTTAATTACAAGAATGATTCATACCTCCTATGTCCAGACACCAAGATCCTAGGATGTTTCTGTCAGATCTATGGGAAGAGGAAACAATAAACACCTGTCACCAGAGCTTTCCAAACTGGGAAGCCCCGAACTGAGTTACTGTCAATTCTCAATCCCATTCCCCGACTCTAAAATCACCCCCAGTCCGCCCCCCAAAACCCAGAGGCATGCTTCCACCAGAATCTGACCCTGTGAAGAAAATGGGAAAGAAATGCCACAGAATGGCCAGGAAAGTAGTAAAGTAAATGGCTCTGGGTTTTTCTAGTCCATACTACCAGAGTAGGAAAGGGAGGCCTTAACAAAGTAGTCGCTTTTCCTCTCTGGGCATTAGTTTATACAATGCGGTGTAAGGCAAGAGACTCTACTAATCCGCGGGTGAAGACGAACATGGATTCCTATAGTCAGCACCCACACAAACCCATCAAGAGCCCTGCCAACACTCCATCTTCGACCACGCCATCTCCCGGACTTTTCTAGAGGCCCTGGATCACCATCCCGCGCCCTGGTGTCCTCGCACACTTGACCTCCTCACACACTTGCCCTCCTCGCAAGCGGCGGGTCCACACCAGGCCATCGCACCCACCACGTGGACCCTTCTTCCTCGCCTCACCTGTCCTAGATTCCGGAGTCTTAGCGCCCCCTCCCCATCACACACACCTTCCCGGACAAGTGATGCCCAATTCCGGCTCGAGGAGGCAGCCCGTAAACTCACCTGGCACCCGCCACCCCGACAATATCATTGGCCTGCTCCAGCCTTCCCCATCGCCACCACCCACCCGGCCCGCTCCCCGCTCGCTGGGGACACTCACCCGCCACGCTGCCGCACCGTCTCCTCTGCGGCCTCCCGGCCCGAGCAAACAAGAGGCCGCGGGGGGCCGGGCCGCCGCTGTCGCCGCCGCCACCGCCTCGCCTCAGCCTAGTCCCATCGCTCTCGGCCGGCGCCGGCGGCCGCGGGTCGCTCGGGCTCGAGGCACCGCCGCCGCCGCCGCCGCCGCCGCCGCCGCCGCCGCCGCCGAGCGCTGCGGCTCAGACTGAGGAGAGGGAGGCGCCGCGGCGGGGCCCGGGCCGGGCCGGGCGCAGGGGCGTCCGCGCTGTGCTATTCGGCGCGCGCGGCGGCGGCGTGCAGGCGGACAGGGCGAGAACAAGGGAGGGCGGCAGGGGAGGCGCGCAGGGGAGGGGGGCGGTCTGCACTCCGAAACGGCCTCCCGCCGCCGGCGACGTAGCGAACCCCCCTCCCCTCGGCCGCGGCGCCCCGATCACGCTGCGGGGAGAGCCGGCAGGCAGGCGGGGAAACGCGCGCCGCTAGCTCGGGAATCCCGCGCCGGATGTGAAGTCACGTGATTGCCTTTTCCAGCGCCGTGGGCGGAGGGGCGCGGAGGGGACGTCAGGGGGCGGGGCGGGGAGGGGGCGGGGCGATGGCTCTACCCCGCCCACCACATCATCTTCGGCCGCAAACCTACCTAGGGGAGAACGGCTTAGAAAAAGGTATTCGCAAAAAGTTGGGTATCGGATGAGGATGGATAAAGCAGGGAGGCTCCTTCTGGCAGAATGGAGTGGAATTCGCCATCCCGGCCGTGCAGAGGCAAGATCACAGGTCAAATCCCCATTTGCGAACAGAGAAACTGAGGCCCAGTGACTAGTGCAGACTTGCCCTGAGTCACTGTCAAAGGAGGAAGCTTGAGCTAAAAGTGCTGAAGAGGAAACCAGGTGCTAGCTCCAAATCCAGCTCTCTCATTCCTTTACGTCTCCTCCCCTCAAATAAACTAACCAAATACTATAATTAGAATTGGATCTGGGCTCTGCGTCCTTGCCTCGGGCAGAACAGGAGGAGCACGAGAAATCTCCKGCACCTACCCTCTTCCTCCGCCTCCGAGGGGAAGGAATCTTACGACCACGCTGAATGAAAATTGAATGCTTCCCTCCGCAGGAGATTTATCTCTTGGTAGGGCCCAGGCCGGATGTTCAAATCGCGGGTTTGGTTTTCGCCGCGGCGAAAGGAGCAGGGAGCGCGCTAAGCCACCTGCTGCCTATAGCTCCCGCCATCTTCCTGCCCTGCGTTTATCTAGCCCGCGCCCTTGACTCCTGGTCATCACAGTTCTTATTCCACCTTGCGGCTAACAGAACTCTTAGATGATTGAGCATCTTAGAAGAAGGAACCGCCTGCGTGCAGCCTCTGTTTTCCACACTTGGGAAGACCTCACCAGGTGCAAGGAGCTTTCAGCCTGAACACTTATTGGGGACTGCCCCCACGGGTCCACAACTCAGGGTGACATCTCATTTGAGGCAATCACTGTGTCAAGTCCATGATGACACCTAATCGAAGGCAAGAAACACAGCGCCCCTTGTCCCCCTCGGTGGGCCTGGAGAATTTTGTGGCATTTCCTCTCAATGGTGGTATAGATTGCCACTGAGCCGAAATGATCCACAGCTGTGTATTACCAACTCCTCAGCTCACAGTTTCAAACCTCAAGGTGTAGAAATGATTACATGAGATAAGGGGTGTGAAAGTGTTGGGCAAACGGTAAAAAAGAAAGCAGTCTGGATAGGGCTGGGCCAGAAAAACCTCCTCTGAACCTTCCCCAATTCCTTTAGCTCTAAGTTGTTTCCCCCTCATATCTTTCCCAGCCCTAAAAGCAAAACTATCAAGCCAACCGTCCAATCAGAATACCCTCTCTGATTAAATGCCAACTGCTTCTCTCCCTTTCATGTGGTCTCCCCTGCTGGCCTCCACTTCCTGGCTTCTCAGCACTTAGCAATCTGACTTCTCCCCTCCCCATTCACATCCTTCTTCATCCTGCTCAGGCAAGAGTAACCCATGGCCTTCAGGTTCTCAAACTTGTCAGGCATTCCTGAGTACTCTCTGCATCTCTGCTATGTGGGACACCTTGGATGCTCTCACCTTCTGGAATATTTGTACTACCTTCATTTCCAGAAGATTGCATACTCCCAATTGTCACATCTCAATAACTAAGCTCACTGCTTCCTTCAGTGGCATCCTAAGTGCCACCAATTGCAAATCTTAAATGCAGGTCTCTGCTCTAAACCCATAGCTCTTCTCACTCCACTCATTTCTGAGGGCTCAACTCCACCCTCGTGCTTTCAACTGCCAAATCAGCAATCTCTAACCCAGACCTCTTCCACAAAATTTAGAATCAAATATCCAACTGCCTGGCAAGCAGCTCTATCTAAACTCACAGGGACACCCCAAACATGGTGTGTCCAGAGCAGAACTCATCCTCTTCCTTCATTCGGCCCCTCCCTCAACTGTTGGCACCAGCATCACAGAGTCATCAGACTTAGAAAGTCAGGAATTCGTGAGTCATCCCTGATTAATCATCAAGTCCTATCTATTTTCACCTCCTTTATAAGCCTCAAATTCCTTCCTCCCTTCTCACTGGTAGCCATCATTTCTATGTTGCACGGTTGTAGCAGCTTCCTAAGAGTTTCTTTCAGGCCAGGGGCAGTGGTGCATGCCTATAATCTCAGCAACTCCAAAGGCTCAGGCAAGAGGATCACGAGTTGGAGGCTAGCTTCAGCAGCTTAGTGAGGCCCTAAGCAATTTAGTGAAATCCCATCTTAAATAAAAAATAAAAAGGGCCAAGGGTGTAATTCAGTGTAAAGCAACTCTGGGTTCAATCCCCAGTACCCCAAATATAAAAAATAAAGAGGACTGGAGATATAATTCAGTGGTAAAGTGCCCTTGGGTTCAATCCCTGGCACACACAAAAAAGAGTCTCCTTTGGAAAAAGTCATCTTCCATCTGTCCTCCAGAGTGAGCTACCTAGGGGTTCCCTGAGTTTCTGAATGCAGTGTGTACATCCAACCTGTGCAGCACAAACCTGGCAATGCATTTAGGCTTTTAAAAGACTAAAAAGAGCCAGGAGAGTGGCACATGCCTGTAATCTCAGCTGCTCTGGAGGCTTAGAAAGGAATATCTCAAGTTTGAGACAGCCTGGGCAACTCAGCAAGGTCCTGGGTCAAAGGGGGAAGGAGGCAGGGATGTAGCTCAGTGTTAAAGTGCTTACCTAGCATGTGCACAGCCCTGGTTTAATCCTCAGTACTGCAAATGACAAATGATTGAGCGTTCAAAGCCAGCCTCAGCAATGGCAAGGCACTAAGCAATTCAATGACACCCTGTCTCTAAATAAAATACAAAAAAGCAAAACAAAAAAAAAAATAGAGCTGGGGATGTGGCTTAGTGGTAGAATGCCCCTGAGTTCAAATTCCAGTTCCAAAGGAAAGAAAGAAAGAAAAGGAAAAGAGCTGTTGAATATTTTAAAGTATCCTGCTGCAGATATTTTGGGTATGGAGTAAAAAGTACCTGGCCACTGACTTGGAAGGAGATACTGAGTCACAGGAAAGACTTGAGCATGTTTATAAGCAGAGGAAAAAGGATCAACAAAAAGGGAGTGGGGGCGGAGTCCAAAACAGGAAGAAGGGAAGAGGTGGAGAAGTCTTGAAAGTTGTGAAAGGTGTACTGATACTCAAACCCATCAGGAATCTGGACCCTGCACCCTGATCATGCTGGGCGCAGCCCTTCTGTCTTCTGATGCTACTCCTTAAGACCCAGCCCAGGCTGAGTGAGATGGTATGTGCCTATAGTCCCAGCTATTGGAGAGATTGAAACAGGAGGACCCCTTGACCCAGGAGCTGAAGACCAGATTGGACAACATAAAGAGATTCATCTAATAACTACAACCCCAAATAGGTAACAGTCTTACTGGTAAGGATAGAAATTTTGAGGATGAAGAAATACTTTTTGTGTAAAGTCAGAGCTTTCTGAATTTACACAAAAAGTATTTCTCCATCCTCAAAACTTCTATCCTTACTTAGCCCTTCACCCCCATCTCTTTACCTCTTATTTCACTAGGAAAATGCTAACCCTCCCACAAATTTACACATCATTCCACGTCAGCATCCAATGTCTCTCTTCTTGCTCTTAAGGAGCAAAGCTCCCTCCTGCAGAGCTAACCCTCCACAAGTACACTACTTGGCCTCCCAGTGATTACCACTATGGCCAACTCCAGTGGGCACTTTGTGGACCTTGTTTTTCTATTCTTCTGGAAGGTTTTTTTTTTTTTTTTTTTTTTTTTTTTTTTTTTTTTTAGCAGGGATTGATCCCAGGGGCGCTTAACCACTGAGCCACATCCCCAGCCCTTTTTTATATTTTATTTAGAGACAGAGTCTCGCTGAGTTGCGAAGTGTTTCACTAATCTGCTGAAACTGGCTTTGAAGCAACCCTTCTGCCTCAGGCTCCTGAGTTGCAGGGATTACAGGCATGTGCCACGGCACCAAAACACTTTTTCTTCCATTTAATAATGGATTCTTTTTTGTAATTCTTCCCCCTTCTCTTTCTTTGTCCACCCCTCAACCTGTTGTGGATTCTTCTTCTATCCTGCCTCTAAAAGTTGCTATTTCCCAGAGCTTGATCCACCATCCATTCTTCTCTCTACAGAAGTTTTTGGTTTTTTGTTGGAGATGGAACCCGGACTCTGGCACATGCTAAGAATGCATTTTTCCACTTAAATACACCATAACCCTGTTTGTTTGTTTGTTTTTGTTGTTGTTTGTTTTGTTAGCAGGGATTGAATCCAGGGGCTCTTAACCACTGAGCCACATCCTCAGCTCTCTTTATTTTTTATTTCGAGACAGGATCTTCCTAAGTTGCTTAGGGTCTCACTAAGTTGCTGAGGCTGGCTTCAAACTTGTGATCCTTTTTCCTCAGCCTTCTGAACCACTGGGATTATAGGCAGGTGCCCCTTCACCCAGTCTGCTTTATGTTTTATTTTTTAATTTGACATCTATAGGCTTTTTTAAAGTTGTGGATGGGTAGCAGGGGGTTTATAAATTCCTTAAACTTGAAAGTAAATATTTTAAAAAGGAAGAGTAGGAGCTTTTGTCCCCTTCTCAAAGATATCTGGGAAGGCT